CTCCCACTTTTGAATCTGAATAAATAAATTGTAGCAGTGGAACATACGCGCATGTACGAGTGTTGTTTAATATCATACCACACAATGCCGAATAACTCTTTTGTTCAACGATTATGAATGAAAACAAAAACAAAAAAGCTTCACGTGATTCGTATCCAGTGTTTGATAGTACATTATGTATTTTTCAAACCATATCTTAATAACTAATAGTGGGTAGAGTTTTAGAAAGTGGGAAAGATACATTTCTCCTGAAACATGTCAGTACTAACTCTCAAAAATTCAGAAAAAATAAAAACTTTTCATTCTCATTTCACTGCTTATAATATGGGTTGACCCAGGCTGGAGAGAATTGGTGATAATTGACTGTAGCAGGCTGAGGATCGGCTACAAATTAATCTAGATTATGTGCTTGCTTGGTTACTGCCGTGCCAAACTTTTAAGGTATTTAAAGCGACTGAAAGTAGAAGCAATGAAACATTTTAATTCTATTCAATACGGCGAATATTAAATTATCATTGACGTGAATAGCACCAAAGACACATATGATAAATATACACGTTTAACGTGATGAGCGGCGACTCATATACTATCACTGCTCAACGCGGCAAAAAAAGTAATTGCGCATGCGTGGATTAATATATGTATGTGTGATATTGGCCAATAACAATGCTCCCAAATGTTGGGATTAAAGAAAATATACACATCAGCGGAAAAAATACCTTTATAATCACGACAGATTGTTACAAAATAACAGTTGGATGAGTCCTACGAAACTAGCAAATTCATATAGAATTTTTCTGCCGAAATCGAAGTATTGTGAAGAAATGATGTTACGGTTACTGGTGATTCTTGCAGTTGCAGGCGCTACGCTAGCATCCCCAAAGGAGGTAGGTTTAGCCAATTATTTAGCACAATGGTTTGTCCACGTTCTTAGGTTGACACATTGATTGCATCACGAGTCCATACGACTTTTCTGTGGATATCGTTTACTCGTGGCTGTTTGACGTTTATTCGTATAAATGCTGCCTCCCGTACATAGTATTAGTATTAATACTATCAGTAGGTTTCTCATTAGTTTCGTTCACGACTTGTAATTATTCAGTAGTAAAAATGTAATAAAAACAATTTATTTAAACCCCGGCACAGTAGATACAGAGATCATTTGATATTTTAAACCATACCTATCAGTTTTGAAAGAATTAAGTTATTCAAAATGTATCAACGGCAAACGAGGTCATTTGGTAGCTGACATCAAATCTCTCTGGTGAAATGGAGTAATTACTTCGCGTTAAGCTTTCAGTATTGCAATCCCGGGGCGTCAAATAACCACGGAGAAATTTGACAATTTGAGTATATTTCACAAGCAAATTTTGGTCAAACTGACGATACACTGATTTCACACGGAAATAATGTATTTTTACTCATGAATTATGCAGATTTAGTAAACAGTCAACATGCCCCGTAAAAAAGGACGCGTCGTTGAGGTACTGTTTTCGATATATACCCCATGCTGTGAAAACGTATACGCACTTCGTCAGTGTTGTGTCACAAATTTTAAGGAATAATCTTGCTCTGATTTTGCACTATGAACAGTACTCACAGTTGTTGGTTACTTTAGCCAGTATATTGAATTATAGATCAGAAACATGCGTATTATAGTGTCGGGTACAAGTCATTACTTCAACTATTCAGATCATTGCTAAATTCAGGCCGAGAAAAAAATTATCTCTGTTTCTCATTTCCGCGCGCATCATTTTGAACTATGCGCCTCAAAGGTTTTTTTTTTCCTTATAAAGCATTCCAAAATGCGCTTGTACTCGCACTTATCGCAAATTTCCCCTATTTTAGCTCATTTAGCTCGGCGCCTCATTTTAAAATTTCCGTGAAACGAGAAACAGAGAAATTTTTTTCCTGGCCTAAACTGAATACAGCATATTTTTACGATGTATTTGCTCACTCTCAGATATTCTATTTTAAAGCGAATAGCCACTGACTAAGAACACACGTAACCTAATAACATGTTACGATCGAACACAACCTATTACTACATAATGTGTTTGTTTATCTATCTATTTACAGAGGCTGGTGAAAAAACAAGCAGGTATGTATATATTAGGTCACTAAGGCATTGTGGGTAATATGGACTAATTTTCTTCATCAGAAATTCCCCATTGGCATGTTATATATATATATTTATATTTGATTACAGATAAACCTATATATTTTTACTTCATGAGCAACTGTCAATTTTACCGATTACTAAAAAAATGTTCGATCTTCAAATCACTATTTTAGTTTAGTATTTATCTACTTAGTTTTCTAATGTTATTGATTTCTATATTCAGCATCGAAATATAAAGTTATACGTGGCAGCATGAACTGGCGTGAGGCACAGACTGCATGTGAGGACATTGGTTACTCCCTTGCAGAGATCCGCTCTAAAGAGGATACATATGAAGCTAAACAATTTCACGATGAAGGTACGTAATGCAACGAACGTAGGGACGTTGGAATGTGTTAAAATGTGTCGACAATTAACACGTTTAACACGCGATTGTGTTTCATTTCTCACCAGATATTTTGTGGATTGGCATAACGGATATATCTCACGAAGGAACTTTCACATATTGGAGAGGTGATGCTGCCCTAACGTACTTAAACTGGGCTCCTGGGGAGCCAAACAATTTGGATGACGAAGACTGTGTACATTTATGGTAACTGAATTCAGTTTTACTTTTTTAATTTGAGATTAGCAATCTTTGGAATGTTGAGACAAGAATAACAAAAATGCGTGTAATATTATTGATGTAATTTCTGTAAATCGCGCCATCTAGTGCCGAAGCTTTATGTTCACGTAGTGGGCGAGAAACGAGCCGTTAAATATGCGGATATTGTTGTCGATTGTCCCAGCGCGGCGTGCCATGCGAACAGCAAGTAGGACGCAGATAACCCGTTTGTATTCAGGTCCAAAGCAACGTGACTATGTGAAGTAAAACATATATACCACTTTCATTCAGTCTTCCAGCATAAACTTTGTACTTGAGATGATTTCAGCATTTGGCGCTATTTTGTATTTTATACTCGCTCAAATTTTGGGAGAAAAACCCTGCCCTATTTATAAGGTGGCAACGTGCGTAAGCGCCAACGTCGGGTAACCGACTGAACAAAATACTGAGAACATGATAGCTCCATGGATAGACCAAGCAGAAAGACAGGGTCATTTCCAGCGTTCTTCCATCTGTGTTTTAGTGGTAATGACACTAGTACTGCTGATGGAGTCCAGTCAGCGTTATCGTTTTGATCTGTATTCATTCATCAATGAAAGTTATATATTCTAAATGACGAACGACTACATAACCAATCACAGTAGTCGATTTGAATGGCATTGCTTTCACATGTTAAGGTGATTTTCACGCCACAGAAGTGCTTTGTCACTAGAGGGCGTGGTTTATAGAAATGACGTTTTAAATAAATCTCTTTAACAGGGCTGACGGTACCTGGAATGACCATGATTGCGTAACCACCAAGGGAGATGCACTGTGTGAACATTTCGGTGAGTAAGAGGCTATAGCTAAATGTATACATTGTACGTTTGTTAAATGTTTCTATTATACAAACATGCTTATTGTTTCCACCTGATTGTTTCAGCGTTCAGTGCGAAGTACAGCCTTCACGTTGAATTATGCGTGTCATTTTTCGTCATCCACTATAAAAAACTGTAGTGTTTTATAGACCAATCAATTTTAATGGATCAATCAATCAATGGCCGCCGAAATCTCGTTCTCTTTAGTCACCGGGTTTTGTTTTCCACGTAGCAATGACCACATAAGTAAGAGAAACATATGACACTCCCTGATTACCGACAGACGCGATGTAATCCATTTGAGCAAATATAAAAAGTCAAAAAACAAAACAAAGAACAGGCAACCTTGGATTAAGCATGGAAGGTACTAACGTTAGTACCTTCCATGGATTAAGTCAGTTGAAATATCCAATATTTCGTCAATATCTAAAAACATCTCGAATGAGATGTATCATTTTACGCCAACGTCATAACCTTTTGGGCGAGAACTACAGAAATATTCGTTAATGTTCTCGTGTTATTGTATTACGTTTGACCCCTTGACCTCATCATCTGATCAATGAAAACAGAAACCAAACAATCGCAGGTCATTTTCTACACTAAAACTAAACCTTTTCATTCAGCAATAATGGTAAATGTATCACTGAAGGCGAGAGGTTTGTCATCTGTGCATGCGCTGGAATTGAATTCCCAGCGATGATAACAACACACGCTAAGAACGCAAAGACTCATGGGTAGACGCTTGTTTGTAAACAATGGCACGCTATGGCCACCTAACGCATGCTTAGGTGATGACTCCCCCGCTTTAATGTAAATTCCAGTACTTATAACCACACAGTATTTATCTACGTATATGTATATAATATTACAGATGCGGATATACACGGAGATCCTCACATGACGACATTCGATGGGCATGCATACACATTTCAAGGAACATGCTGGTACACTATGTTCAAAGACTGTTCTCCGAATCCTGGTTTCGAAGTCACTACTAAATTTGAACCTAGAGAAGATAGTACTCCTGAACAAGTCAGAACGAGAATTGTTTCTTTCAACGTTACCGTTGGAGATCAATACGCAATTGTCGATGGACTTGATATTGTTACTGTAAGTTTTCGATCCTTTTCCGTAGTTTAAAATCATATTAAATTTCAAATCGTTGGATGGGCTTCAGAGCAATTTATATAAACTGATACAATATGTACTTTCATACAGGGACGAACTCATGGACAGTTGACGGCAGCAAAAGCGATACATATTGAGGAAGAAGAAAAGAAGATCAGACTGCACTTCTCTTTAAAAGATACGACATTTACTCTGGACTGGACTCTGAGAAAGCATATATTGAGCGCATCGTTCACTGGTTCCGATTACCATGGTAAACTCTGTGGCCTGATGGGTAATGCTGATGGAGACCCGCTTAATGACTTTCAAAAACCAGATGGTAGTGTTTTAAATCACGTTGACGTTGCTGATTTTGGGGACAGCTGGAAAATAAAGAGCAAAAAGTAAGTTACCTGTAATTATATAGTGTATTAAATATCAATAGTTTTTCTGACGCCTTCCCCATATTGTTACATTTGTGGATTGCAAGATACACAACTTTTCCATGAACAAAATTAAACACAGACAAAAAGAGGGCTATTGTTTTTTTTCCACATTGATAATTCTTATTTTTGTTCTTATTACAGGTGTGACTGAGATGTTATCCTGGAAACAATATATTTGTTTTAGGCCATCATCAACTACTCAAGTTCTTCAGAAGTATTAAGATTACATTACATGACAGTTAAAGGATTAATTTCATGTGAGGGGTTAAGGATTAAATCTTGACGGTTATGGTAAAGGTTAATGTAGTTAAAGGTATTATATCGTAAAATTAATTGTATTAAAATGTAGTTGCTGGTTACTTCAATAAAAATTAGCCAAATAGGAATAGTAGTAGTATTTGATTGTACTTAGTATGCACTTCTTTAGATCTAGTTAAGTCTTTCTCGAACCAAGTCAGTAAAATCAATATTAATATTAGCTTTCAAGACGTTAGATTATTATAGAAGACGTGACGCGCTACGTTGGGAGGTGTGATGAGGATTCTATGTATCTATTTTAGACAACCTGGCCTCTGTTTCGAGGCACTCTCTTATATGGAGTGGGCACTAAGTCTATACAGAAGAATAAAGATCTCTGGGCACAATAAAACATTACGAGTGCTGTTATTCTCACAATACCTTCACCATGAGTCCAAGGGATGCGAAGATCGCTATAACTGCAAATCTATCGATATTTCTAGGTTAATCGGACGTTGGGTTATCTCTACCTGGGATTACCTCTTGTTGATTACAAACCCTATTGATTACAGTAGTGCAAGTGTGAAGTAAAGTTGTTTTAACATGTCCTTCTCTGCCTGGCTGGGGAAAACAGCTATTCGCATGAAAAGACGCCATTTTGGGTACACCACCTGTCATGTGATCATCAACACATGTGAAAACAAGCAGGGACCGGACTAACCCTGCGTACAGTGCTGTGTGTACGGGGCCCGGGGGGCAATACATATAACTTGCCTAATGGGGACGTGCCCCTGAAATGGGTCTCGTTTTTTCGATTTTAGGTATAAGTATCGGTTTTATTTCTGGTCAAGATAGGCATAAATATCGGTAATATTTTCTTCGATTTGGTATACTTATGGGTCCATGTATGAGCGAATATCTCCACCTCAGATCCACATATACATCTACCCGGCAATCAATAATAAATAAATCAATATACAATGCAACTGTTGGCTTACATGTGATTATATTGGAGATGCTCTTATAATAGAGCAAATACGGTAACCGTTTTATAGTTTGGAATAAACAGTGATGACAGAAATGATACTTTAGTATAAATATGGGTATAGATTTTGCCACTATCCAGGTATAAAAATGGTCACACTTTTGAGCACTGAGGGGCACCTCCCCACCCAGCTATGTATCAACTTCCCCCGAGGTACGGGGACGCGTTCGGTTGATATATGTCCCCCACCACAGCTCTGCGTACCTCCACAGACAAAGTCCGGAAGCGCACCGGAGTTGGAGCGCAAG